TGAACTCCTATTCACTGAAAATGATTAAACATCTTCATGCTTGCTCTTGTATTGAGCATATGAGACATATAGACAGTCCTTTCTCTTACACACCTCTAGAAAGCACCTTATTAAATGGCTTCTTCTTAAAGATAAAATCAGATGTAGCCAGAGGCATCTATGTTTAAAAAATGTTTGTCTCTATCCTCAATTTGTTGAGAAACATTTTAGCACTCCCCAGAGTAAGTCCAGAAGATCCCTGACTGAATGCACCCCGTAGTGCCGAGAAGCGCGGCCCCCGCTAGGTGTCTTGCCTGTGGCACATTCTACCCTTTTGCGTTTGAATGTCAAGACTCTCCATGCAGAAAATTGATTCCCAATGATGCTATTGAGCAGGCAGGTCACTCAAGAGAGAAGAAAATAATCTCATGCCCCCCAAAACAATGAGATGAAACCAAAATGCTGGAGATAAAGGATTGTCATGAAATTACGAAAATTGAGGAAATCGATCACAGAGCATGAAGCAGATATGGACACTCGATAGGTTTAAACCTAAATAAGGGCATGTTTGAGATCTCAGGTTCTCGTGTCTCAGCTGGGGGAAATTATCAGAGGTCACTCTCAGAAAATCATATAATGTGTGTGTCCTCATGAATTAACAGTATATAGTCAACTTACATTATTTGAGAGATTTGAGCAAAAAAAAGGAAGAAATGTCCTTTATTGGAAATATATATATATATATATATATATATAAACATACGTTATTCATATTTTAGAGAAAATGCGGCATTCGTCTTTTCCCCATGTTCTGTTCAACTCTGTTAAAATGGCAATATTTTTCGCTCTGTGGTTGAAAACGAAGTTTTTTTTTTAATATCATCTCATTATGTTTTCACTTACATTGGCTTCATAAAGCTAAATGGTTCAACTCTGTTATGGGATAAACACCTTTTTTTTTTTTTTTTTTAAATCTCCAGCAAACAGCCTGTGAATAATACTGTGTTGTGCAATGATACTTGCTGTGCGGCCATTATTGGACGTTAAATTTATAATACCAAAATGACAGTAACAGGGTTGAAATAAAACAGCGCTTTGTCACAGGATAGAGATAAAGTAGCGCATGATCACAGGAACTTGCAGTGCAGCTTCAAACTATAATTGGACGCTAGAATATTTTTGGTTGTAACAGGGTTGTCACAAAACACATTTTAAAGAGAAATGGCATGAGTTCTTTATATTTCAATACATAATGATGATCTAATAATGAAATAATGGTGATCTATTACAAGGGCACAATAAACTAGTTAACTAATTTATATAAACTATGAATTTCAAACTTGCAGTAACAGGGTTAAAATAAAGTAGTGCTTTACAGTCAGGGATTAGGGTTACTGACAACAAATAAATTCATTGATAGTTACCACCAGAACAGAAGTTATCACCAGAACAACATGTGAACAGTGTGTGGCGCAATGATATGTCACTGTTGAGGCCATTAAACATTTTTGCACTGATCTTCAACCCTGAAACATTTTGTAACAGGATTGACACAAAGCACGTGATTTTTTAAAAAAAATAAAAATTGCACAAATTATTAATATTTATTTCAATTTTATGTATGATTTATCACCAGGCACAATAAACTCAGTCATCTATTCAAATTCATGTATGAATTCCAAAATTACAGTAGTGCCTTGGGATCAGGCTTACTAACAACAAATACATTCATCAAGCTTGATCGTTCAGCTCTGTTATGAGATAAACACAATTTTTAATCACCTGAATAATACTGTGTGGTGCAATGATACTAGCTGAGGGGCCATTATTAGACATTTTGCACTGATCACGAACCTTGACTTGTAACAGGGTTGACACAAAACGTGATTTTTCAAAGAAAGAGTTAATTTTATTCATTACCAGGCACAATAA